GTAAATGTCAATTATTGAAAATTGTAAATAAGGCTGGAAGAGTGATTGGAGCCGACATTAAGTCCTTGGAAGATATTTTTAATGATTTTTTACTTAAGAAATTTAATTCAATTATGCAAGATTCATCCCATCCATTATTTTCAAACATTATCATAAATAGATCGGGAAGGGTTAGACATAAACAAAACAAAATATTCACAAACCGTTTTAAAAATTCAGCATTGTACATCGCTTGTAATCTATTTAATCAAAATTTCAGAAGATAACTGCACAGGACTCAAATTTTTATTTTTTAAGAAATCTTTATTTAACACTCTAAATGTTTATGAACGATTCTATGTCATGTACAACAAATATCTCAGAATGTATTATTTTGACAATAAAGTTGACTTGTATCTTGTATCTCTTAGGTGTTCTACCAATTGAAAAATTTTTACTGGTAAATTTGTCCTTATAGAGCCTGCTAAATGTGAGGTATTGCTACATTTAATTGGAGTTCAATGCCTTCAAAAAACAATAATACATAATCATTACCTAGGCCTGTACTGGGATGTTCGTTTATAGAAAGAAGACCAGCCTAGGCTACCTAGGCCTAATAAGTGCTTTTTTTTATTCTACCAATGCACAATTTTTACTGTTTGGTCAGTTATTTTAATGGTAAAATTGAGGGCTAAAACAGCTTCAGTAGAACAATGCTCTTACACAGGAACTATCCTACTCTGGAAAGGATTATGGATCTCATCAAAGAGTGTAGAATTACAAGAGGTCAGACCATGGAGGTTTACTTCCTATTGCATGCACGCATTGAAACAAAAAACACAGTACCACCGCGAGATAGGGGTGCCCTATTAGAATTTGAATAATGCGTTCGATACAAACCAGTGACGAATGCCTTTTATGTTCTTTTTAAGGACACCCTCTAGTTCTGAGTAGTATTCTTTTCGAGATAGGATTGCATTTTCACAAAACCCCCAGAGATAGACCTCTTACAGTTCTATATACTATCTAATCATGTCCAGGGTCTTAATTAGCAGATATAGTAAGTCGTATTTAAATGAAAAATGCAATCTACATCAAACTAAACGATTCATTGATATACAATTAATGGGTTTCAAGTGATTAAGTGACTTCTACTAGTGTATTAATAAATTTTCAACCCACAAGTTGTGCCTAGTAAAAACGCAACTATTCTGTTCTCGCTATCCTCATTGGCTGGCATGTATGCTATGCATGTGGTAATAGTAATTTCACTTTGATAATAATTTTTTTATGATATAACTATTGTTTTTTATTGAAGTGAGCCCTCTATGGGCAATAACTGTTACTTATACAAACTGTATTGTTAGTTATTTAAAAGTCATGCTTTAATTCATGTGCCTAAAAAATGGAAAAATAGAAGTATCTAATTGTATGATTAGATTTTTTTTTAAATACTTATTATTTTATTCATTTTTTTTATAGCATTTTTATAAACATTTCTAATCTCTGCAAATAATGCTAAAAATTGTATGTTGCTTCCTGATTTATTTTTACATATAATTCAACTAATTGTTATCTTTATTATCACTACTAACATCATGAAATCACCATTACTAGGCTGTCATTATCATCATTATCATAATAATGATTATGATGATAGTAGTGATGATAATAGTGATGATAATTATGATGCTGATAATAATCATCATCATCCTCATTGTCATCACCAACACCATTACCATCATCATTGTCACCATCATATCATCATCATCCTCAGGTCCAAATTTGTTATCATCGTTACAAACATCATCATCACCACCACCATCATTGTCAACACCATTACCATCGACCTCACCATCTCTACCACCAACACCACCACCACCATAATCATCACAATAATCTTTATCTTCATCATTGTTATTTTCACCTCATTCAACATTCCATCCTTCCATCCATGCGAAGATGCTCTATATCATGGTAGTGAAGTACTATGACGAGTTGTAGTGGAGTTCTGTGACTAATGCAGGATTTGAACGCAGGTCCTGTGATTAAAAACATGCACCAACTGCCACCAAATCCACATTCAATGTCCAGTATCCACTGTGAATATGTTCCCAATTGTGTAATCTGCAGATTTACAGGAAATGTATGTGTTATCAAACTTCTTAAGGCTAATATTTTTGTGAGTCTAAAGTAGCTGTAATTTATAAGGACATGTCAGCATTACATTATACTGTAAAACCTCGAACTGAAGCCCAATCATTTTAATCTCGAGATCAAGCAAAGGCTTCTATTCGAGATAGTACAGTAATACACTGTACATGAATTTCAAAAAACAAAATAAATTAAAAACAAGCTTGGTTTATACAGTTGTTTTGGTGATTTATGCCAGTTAAAAAATAACCCCCCCCCCCCCCCCCCCACCCGCCATTACTTTGCAAAAGTAACCCTCGGAAAGAAGCCCATCTCGAAATGAAGCCCATCCAAAGTTCGCAAAAAAAAAAAAGAAGAAGCCCAGGGCTTCAATTTGAGGTTTTACATATTTTTCACATTTTTATTAAATTTTCAACACTTAAAATGCATCCGAATCAGCAATTAAAACTTAGCAATGTCCACTCTAAAAAATAATTGTCTACTCCTTGGTATAATATTTTCATCTAAGCCTATAAATTGAAGTTATTTATTAAAAAAAATATATTAATCATTAAAAGCTATAATTTACCAATAGTAATTAGTCTTGCTGATTATTAAGAAAATCGAGTAAATTCTTAAAGACCGCTGGCCACACCTTGATGATTCCATGGTGATC